CTGTGGATCTTTATGCAAAATAAAATTGTTACAGACGTATCTACAAAAATTGAACATAAGTTGGAATTTATTTTAGTCTGTAAATATTATAATATCATCTTTACTTTCAATGATTTTTTATATACATACTTGCATATTGTCTGGTTTTTGTAGTTTCTTGGACATTCGAATTTCCTATAAATGCATAAAGATCCGCAGTCTAGATATAACAAATCACTGAAAAATTAAATATCGACAGTAGTTGTCATTTGCGTCACCATTGAAGAAGGCCACCATGCTTTGACCGAAACATTGAAACGAAGAAGGTGTTTGATCTAATTCGCACTCAGTTACCAACAAGAATTCCTAACTTTTTTTAAGTTTGAACATGTTATGTAAAAATAGCGTAACAAATTATACGAAGTACTGATCGCTATGTCTAGGCATAAAAGGGGGTCAATGGGACGATCCTTCGAGTATAATTCCAACGTTATCAACCAATGCCACATTGGACGTTGGCACGTTATTTTTTCAGGCGTGTCGATTAGATTCTTGGAAGTGCATCGCGTTCGGTGCATTCTGTTGACCTACGTATCAAGCTAAAGGCGCCGCTTTGCACGCTCGTGGAGTTATCGGGCTATATAAATCGTAATCCCGCCAATTGATGTTTATCCGAATCGGGACTTTTTTCTCTCGCACCTGAGCAGCCTAGGTATGTCTTCTGCGCGGCACCCAAGCCGTAAACTGTCGTTATGTAATCGTGGTAGTTTTCTTCCTTCGTGTCGCCCTGTTACTTCCTTGTTGCTTAATTAAAACCACGCCTTTATTTACACTGGGGCTGGCAATCGTGGCTGGTGTAAATGCGGTGTACCGTATCCGGTAAGCGACCTCCGCGATCGAACCGATCGATACCTAGCACGCCGCGAACCTATCTGTCCGATCTCGATCGTGCTGGATCACTTCAAGGCACTGACTCTCGTTGCGGAGACGGCATTCGATATCTGCTCCCCGGTAGCCTCTAATTCGTACGTTTGTCCGCGATTCTTGCAACGTAACGCGTTCCCGTAACATTGCTGAGACACGCGAGCACATAGAGAAAGCGATCCACGGTAACACGACGGGGTCGAATTACGAACGAACAACGTAGTTCCTTGCGAAAAACGAAGAAATCGACGCGAGGGCGACGAAAAAGTGCCACGTAATCGGATTTGAACATCTACGTGGAAGTTGCTCGCGACACTGCGAGTCGCCATTAATTTGAAAATTTATTCTACGAAATGTAATACCGTCGAAAGGAGAAGACAATATCTTTTGTAATTTAGAATTACTAGCTTTCATCTTTTTAGAGTTCATTAATTAGCTTTGTATTATTTGGGACAAGGAAATAATTCTTCATCTAAAGTTATATTAATTTTCGTTGTTTTCCTTTACTTTTCTAATAAAAAATAGTCCGTAAATAATTGTTCTCACGGAACTTGATTTTACTTAAAATATAAAATTTGGCACTGTCTTTTGTTGAAAATTGAAGATTTGATACATTTATAATTATGTGAATGGTATACCAAAATAATTGTTTACGTGTCATCATAAATTTTCATTTCTAAGTAAAAACTCTTGTTTATTTAGAAAAATTATTAAAACTCTTTATTCCCAATCAAAAGTTTTTTGAGTACGATCCTACGTAGATTTCACGATAAATATATTTTTCCATTCATGCGAGTCTTTATTCGCATAAGCAGGTGATAGCTAATGCTATGAGAATATTCTCTGTAGTATTTCCCAGCGCCGAAAACTCTCTTGCAAAGAAACACCTTTTATTAATTTACTACGTCTTTTTTTTTTGCGACACACGTTCTACAAGGACTTCTTTAGATATAGAATTGAAAATCAGTGTGTTCGGGACACAAAGACAGTTCTATTCTCGTAATGGAACAGGTTCGGTGTTACCGACTTAACGGATTAAGTTGTCCGCGCACTTGTGTACCATTGTGTTAGGATTAGAGAGAAGGAAACTATCGGCGACCTGGATAACTCGATTACTTGGGACAGTCGACGAAAGATTGGAATTCGATTCGCGGTTCAGGTGTCCAATGCTCGCATTTTTCTTGTTTCTGCGAAAAATCGGAACGCTGTGTTTATTTGGCCTCGAAAGCAATGGATTCCGTGCTCTATTCCGAACTCAACACGGATGAAGATTGATCGTCTCCGTCATGAAACTTTAACACAAGGAACAAAATCTTTTTAGATGCAAAATGGATTCGCGAAGAACGGATTTTTAAATGAGATTCTGGTGGCGTTGAATTAACGAGGCGCGCATTGTAATTCACATGTCGGTTGATGGAAAAAAAAACAGACATAGGTACGTTTTTGTCGAGATATCATTGTATTCTTTATGAACACATAGCTGCTAGACTCGTTTTTTTCTCTGCTAGATAGAATCCTTGTGCTCGTAATAAATAATCATTAATTTTAATGTAACTTGGCACGTTGATACAGCATTGGAAAATATTAGATAACATTTATATTCATTTCAAAGGATGAAAACTGCCATCAAAGTTGCGAATGAAATATCTATTCGGTAAAATTTTACAAAAAGTAACGGAGATAGAGAAAAATGTTTTGCACTCCTGCTCATAAATATGTGGACACTTATCACTAGACTGCGGATGTTTATGCAATATTCTATCTTCATATGTAAATGAAGAACAGAAACTTAAATTGAAGTATGTTTTAACTCTTGAATTTTGTGCCTAACATATTCAGTACGAAAATAGAACGTTAACGTATTCAAAATAATCTCGGATGCATGTACTGCTCTTTCTGAATAGTAAAACATCAGATTGATCAAACGTTTCGGCAGTACATTGACAAAATGTATTCAAGAGAAATTTGAAATTCACCTGGAAGGACATCAACTGTAACTGGGTTAATCAGACACGGCGCTTTGTATACATTGCCACTTTTTTTTAAAGGTAAACGTAGCACCGTCGCATTCTCCCGTTTATCGTGGAATTAATTCCAACGCTTTCGATTCTTCCGGCGAAGGGAGAATATCTCAATTCAAAGCAACCAAAAGGGAACGACCGTTCGGTCGCGCGGTGTACGCAAGCAGCTCCATTTACGCCTCCTATTATACTCCTGTGCTAATCGTTATTATGGCAGTCCGTTGCATAACTGCAATTACCGTACCGCGAGGAACAACGTTCCGTAAGATTGCACCGTTGCACGCGATCTTCTGTAGTCTCAGAGGGTCTACGAACTCCGATGCAAGGTGTCTATATTAACCTCTGAATTTTTAATTTTTGGTAAAAAAATACTGGAAATATCCTTTACGCGCCTCTACTAATTTGGATTTCAACAAACTTAATTGTAATTCAAATGAATATTAACTGGATCAAATGAACATTGATTTTTTCCATTTTCTTCTTTCTTTAACAAATAGATAATATTTTTTCGTGAAATTCGAAAATATTGTTTCGAAGGCCCATCATTTTCTAATTTTTTGAGATGTTGAACAAATCCTACGTCAGACAATAGGTAATATAGCTACCCTACCCTATAGTAGGTATCTAGTTTCAGAACAATTTTGTTTTTTTTTTTTTATTTCAAATATACATTGTGGTCACGAAACCGTTTTGCCGAACACCAGTGCTTTTCTTTTCACTGCCTTCTTGTTGTGAGTAACGCTTTGTCAATTACGTTATGTGACAGATTTCTGTTTGTTTAAATATTCAATAACATACAATGAAAATTTGGAAACAACTGATCGCATAGTTTCTTTATGAAGAATTTCTGAAAATACCTCTCTATTCACACTGTTGCAGCGTTATACTTCCTTAAATGAAAATAATCAAATGAACTGCAAAATGTACATTCCGATTATTCACGATGATAAATGCTTGATCTTTCTACTTAAATATGGAAGGAGAGAAAATAAAAATGTTATTTTATTGCTCCTTGCTCGTATGCTCTTCGCCGAGGTTAAAAGCGTTAAAAGTGCAATTTATGCTATAACATTGTACCACCCTACTTTTATTTCTTTTTGTTTCATTCAAAACTAGTCAATCTACGTAAGGAATTTATACAATAGATCTACTAGTACTCTGAGAGTATCCTAAATTGTTATTAAGAAGCGTGAATATCAGTTGAATTCCGTGAAGTTCTTTAGAATTACTTTGAGCACGCGAAGACTTCTCGCCCAACCCTGTAGTTCTTCCATCAGCGAACGGTTGAAGTAATTTGTTATGATGGTCCGTTTCGACTGTTTGCGAGTTCCATACAGTTGTCACCGAGTCGTAGATAAATGCTCCATTCGAAGGAGTTTTTCAGTCGAGCGTGCAGACCGATCGTTTGCGATACAATTGTTTGGAGGCAAATATCCGCGACTAATCGAAGTATGTCATCGTTGCGATATGATGTATAGGACCATGCGCAAGCGGTCGCGCGGTCTGATTCTTCTCAAGGATGCAAGTGTTCGATGGTGACAAACTGTTGAACACTGCGCCGTGTCGTCGCATTGTTTATGGCATCGGAAGCTATGATAGTACAAAGTAAAAGGAAATTGTATTTTTCTGTCTACTATATTGAAAATACTATATCGAATGTTATCACATCTAATCAAACTGGTAAGAAAATTTGTTTTCCAAATAAAAGAGATGATTGGCACCTCCATATTATAAATCTACGGGGTGGTTCGCCTAAACCAGAAGAACTGAATATTTTTTTCAATTGTTATTGTACAATAAATATTTTATATTTAATTGTAACGGTACGAGAGAGCTAATACGCCGTAACGATTTTTTTTTCAACGTCTCATTTTTGGGGAATTTTCAAGGTCACCGATGTTTTTCGCTCACAAGTGCATATTTTTTTTATTGCATTACGTAGCTGACGTTAAACGACGTTTAGATATATTTAATGATATTGAAAAAGTTTTCCATATTATAGGAAATATTGTAACTGCTTACCGTTGATTCTATTAAAACCGAGAACTATACTTTTCGTTTTGCCTCGTGTTCCAGGGTGCTAGATTTCGGGATACCTCGCAGCAAATCCATAAGCAATGGCAAGCAGATCCAGCAAGAGCGTTTCCAACGGTCACCACAGGTTCGGTTTCACCCGCTTCGGGGGAGATTTCGACCCCAAACTCGACGCCAAGTCCGAGCCCTAGTCCGACCAACAGTCAACAAGTCGTGGTAAGTACGCCTCACTTGTTATCGTAATCGTTCCTGTCTGTTGGTTCGCTTCGACGACTACGCTATACAGGATGAAACACGTAACATGATCTCTATTATTTCTCTATTATTTCTATTGTCAGAGAATTGATCAGAATCTGTTTATCATAAATAATATGGCTCATAACTTCCTTAAAGGTAATAACATTAGATAATAAGAGTTTTAAGGTACTTGAGATATTCACGACCCGATACTAACCGAGGCCTCCACGTCTAAACCTTTGAGCAGAATACTTTGATGTTTCGATTGGAAACAAATAAAATTTGTTTAAACAAATTACTAAATTCCTAACACTAAACCTACCGCGAATGGTGAAATAACCATTTTCAAAGTTTTACGTACAGTTTCTTATATACAATGTTATCGTATCAAATACAAATGCAGTTGCAGGTGAATGAAAAACTTGCCAAGTAAGATATTGCAAAGATAACAAAACAACTAAAGACTTTTCCAGATGCAAAGTATGTTTAGCGGAAAATTTGACTTTGAGAATCTAATAATTTGCAAAAAATGTGACGAATATGAATAAGATAGGTATATTTATTTCGTTAAATTCAAGATACGAAAAAACTATCTTTCCTTATTTTCTTCTTAAGTTTATAATGTGTTGCACAAAAAAAAAATTTCAAACAAATGCTATCATATTATGGATAAAAATATGCAAGGTTTTATTTAAAAAATCGTGGGTGACCTTGACATCTTTTATAAAAAATATGTTGATGATAGAATAATACTCTCCATATACCTCCGCTCATAAGTATGTGGACACTTCTTTGATTAGAATAAGTATTTAAAAAATATTACGAATCTTGTATTAATAAATATCACTTATGTTTCTACAATAACTGCATATTCCACTAGAGAATATATTTTATCAATAGTATATTTAATATCTTATCAATAATGATAACAAACAATTCAATTTTCTTTTCATGTATCCACCATGTGCTCTTAAAATAACTGTCATTGATCTTAACACCCTAGCTATTAATTTTTTCATTGTATTCGAAGCAATTCATTTATTTTATAATTCTCGAGATAAATGTTCTTCAGACGTTGAACATTTTCTCCAAACTTTTCTATCGAAATGATCGTATAGTTTCTCTGTGAAATTTAATATGCCACTACAATTTTAATATTATACTATTTAATACTATTAAATGTTAATAAGTACACATTCGAAACAGAATTTAGCAACAATAAATTTTATAGTAATAACTTACGGTGGATATTAATTATTTATTAAAAGTGCGAACGGGGGTTTGCATCGTATATTCCCCTCGAAACGATGAACTTTTGCGCGAAGAAATTTTGTGTACAACATTGGTTTAAAAGTTACTTGTTATGGTCGAGCGTTAGACGCTTCACCCTGTATATGGTCCAGTTAAAATTATCGAAGAAATTTCAAGTTTCAAATATGGAAAATTGGAATAGTCTTGGAATAATGGAGACCTGAAGAGAGTATAGTTACTGTTATAGAGTCAAAAGAAAATCAACTGTCGCGATGGGTGTAGTCTCTTTACAGTTTTCAATAGTTAATTGGTTTAGTTCCAACAATAAAAGTTCTGGAGCATAAAGGTCGACCAAGTAGTTTCCCAGTTAGCACCCCGTTTATTCGCGTTCTTCCGACTTCTTAGGATTCGACCTTCAAACTTTCGGCAAAACTTGATCGTAATTATTATCTGTTGAAGGTACACGTTTACTTAGTTATTAATTAAACTTTCGCGGAAACTCGAGTGGAACTTACCTCGATAAAATACGGTACCCTGTGCGGTATAAAGGCATTCCTCAGATATAGTAATACCAGTGAAGAATACTTCATTTTTTTTGCATATAAAACTACGAGGAAGTATCTGCTCAAACGTCGAGGGAACTTTTAAACGAGTCAAGGGGATAGTACCATGTCTCGGGTCGAAAAATGGACGACTCCCGAGGTTAATTTTCATTTAAAATCCTGCAACATCATTTGGTAGCGTGAAATATGTAACAATGAAATTAATTATACCCAGTTAATATATTTACGAAAACGTTAAGTGAGTTTTTCATCAATTTCCTTGTTATCTGCTCTTGAAAGCAGAATGATCGTGCAGTGATTTAATTTAATGGAGAATGAAAACAACTCAATTACACATAACACGTTTATTACGTATGTAATTTACGAGTACTTTAGTAACATGTATACGTGTTATCAGAGATGTCTCGATGCTACATCAAAACTGGTACCGTAATCGGTAATTGCGTCTCGACTAGTAATGAGAAAGAAAACAGTACAACAAATTATTATTTAATGCAACTATTGAATGTTTTCAAACTTCTTTAACGCAGTATATTGAGATATATACAGACTCGTATTAATATTCGGACACTTATCAAATTCTAATGGTGTACATAAAAAATACATAATTGCCACTCTTCGAATAATCGAATTCAAATCTATTTTTATCCCGATTTTTGTTGCTTGAATCTTTCTATCGAGATAATTCCATAAATTTTCAATATGAATTATATTCGGTTCCAACTTTATTACGGCCACATGTACATTGCAATAATGAATAAAATACTATAGTGTCCGGATATTAAGACGTGTCTGTATTTCCGAAACCCTGACTAAGCTTTAAGAAGAAACAAGAAGGAACGAATCGATTTTGTTTACCCGAGACGTGATACCATCCACTTAAGTAGAAGCTCGAGATGCACGGGAGCTTCCAGAAATCTAGCCTCGTTCCTTCTCGTGGGCCAATAAGGTTTTATCTGCCTTATACACGAAACGACGAAATCTTGATATACATATATACACCCCTTCCGGGCGTAAATCTTTGCGAGTAACCTCTGAAACTCTCTGGGGGTGTAGCAACTACCAGACCAGGATTCTCCTACACATGTGGGTCAGGGATTGAGCGAGCACTTTCGTGCATTGTACAGGGTGTATCGCGTATTGACCAACGACAACCGCCGCACCAGCGAATACCTACAAACTTGTCGATTCGTCCAATTTACATATTTATTTTACTGTTTGAGTTAATCGCTATGGAGTTTTAACTAATTTTAACCTCTTGTGCTGCGATTTCATTTCAAGTAATTGTCCACGCGTGTAGTATTTAACTTTGAAAGCAATGTATTTCAATTAATAATTTGTATCTTTTGATAGAATTAAAACTGTTTATTGCATTTGATTAGAAATAATGCCAACGTTGTAGACAATTTTGGTATAATGAATATAGAAATATTAGAAATTACAATTGGCTTTTGTAAATTAAAAAGGTAATTGATAAAATGCAGACAGTCGGATGTCTTCATTTAATGGTTCCTGGATAGATAAAATAAATTGATTATAAATTGAAAAATGATTCATTTTGCAGACAAAATAATTTTATAATCAGCATGGACTAACATTTTTCAATTAATATTATGCGTATAAATTAATTTTGTGGCAAACATACCATTTAAGGTATGTTTGGCAAACATACCATTTAATTATAAATAAAAACCACACATTCCCAGAGAGCACATATTAGTGGGAAAACTAAATGTTGAAGCAATTTACGTATTTCATTATTTTTTAACGTAACAAAATGAAGATTAAATATTTTTCTATTTAAATTAGAGTTGTGAATAATTGAATCTAAAATCACGAAACTAACTACTATACCTAATAGATACACTTAGATAGATCTGTTAGAAAACCAACACTAACCAAAATTAATATAACGTAACAAAATAACGAGTAAATATTTTGATGTGAACTGAAGTTATAAGTGATTCAATATGAAGGCACAGAATTAATTTCTACACCTAATAGATTTCTAGATCCCTTATTCCAGGGACACCTTGTATAGCAATATAAATGCAGGGAGCGAAACGTTAAGCGAATCTCTCGTCGCGTGTAGGTATAGATTTTTTCGAGTTACCATTTTGGTTACCGTTACCCCGATTGTCTGTTCTCCATGCGATGCAACCCTGTGCATCAGCAGAAAACATAGATATACGCGTTTGCGAGTGCATACAGCTAAACGCGCGCCATTGTTCGCGGGAGACTATCGGTACGCGAGCCGTACATCCAATTGAACTGGTCGAGAAGTCGGGGCTTGGGGGGTGGCAACCCCTGTCTACAGTGCTATTGTACTCTCACGTCTGTGCGGAGTTTGATTCTGGGTCACTAGGACTTAATGAGAAATTACTGGATGTATATGGAGACTTCCGGGCGAACTCGTTACGTAGAAACTGATAGATTGGACCACTATTACATACAGGCACGTTCGCGCACACACACGCTTTTCATTTTTAATTAAAATGTAATTCGCTACACCGAAGCGATTTTTCGAAGAAAAGCATGGAAGGAAGTCTGAAATATTGATCTTTCTATCGACAAGGAAACAGGAGGAAGGCAGAAGCTTTGAACTGTTTATGCGATTAGTTATTGGTCGAGTTTAATACAGAGACAAATGCAATGTCAAGATGTTATAAATGATTTGTTGCGCCGGGGAGTGGTGCAACGTGGAGAATTTATTTTATAGCACAAGATTTACAAACGAAAAACATGTTAAAGCTTTATTTACAGCAGAACAAGAATATCGATACATCCGAGCTGTACAAAGTCTCGCGCTAAACTGACTATTCAAAATAGATGCCGGTTCTTCAATAGCAACCGGAACGAAATCTTCGCTTCCGCTCGTATATAGAAGCAGCTTCACACCGTCGCGTTGCAATTTCGAAATATTGCGCGGCATCTTCATACTATCGCAACAGATTGTTTCATACCATTTCACCGTACTGATTTATCTTTTATTAAACATGTCGTTATACTTGTTCTCCTTTTACGTCTTTCTTGAGGATGTATAAATTTTAATTTCATGAATAATTTCTATTTACCACATTTCTCTTTTATTAAACGTGTCATTATATTTGTTCTCCCTTTACGTCTTTCTATTAAAGTACTACTTCATTTCTTGAGTTTTCCACG